GAACAATGATAAATATGTGAGTTAAATATTCTTCCTTTCTTATAAAACTCTTTAATACCCATATTTGAGTCGTAAAGTGAGACGAATTGATAAATAGTAACTGACTGGAGTCGTGACGTACACAAAAATAATGTGATAATACTCTCAAGTTACTGTTCCATCGCCTAACAGATTACAAAATAGTAGGTTATAAATTTTCATAATCAAGACCCCCTTTTAAAACAGTCATTATCAGAAAAAAAAAACGAACAAATATACAGTTGCCTTGTGATTATGTACTGAGTAGTACACACAGTACTTACCTACTAAAATTACAGAGATCACCAGTAAAGTAGAATAAACTAATTACTCATTATTAACATTTTTAAATAATAGCACTTCCTGTACACTGGTATATCTGGGAAAGAAAGGAAAAAGACTTGAAAGAACTGCCTTGTTACAGTTATGAATATCAACAAGGTCATTTTCCCATCTTAAATCACCTGGAAAACCTGTTTCTGGTGTTTTGCATAGGATGTGGGATTGAAACATCTACAATAGTGATTAATGTTTTCAACGGCCTATAATTACAAAATAAATAGGATTAATCCTTAGTTAAGTAGACATGTTAGGAAAACATTATATAAAATAGTTTTTGGAGAAATTAGCAAGATTTAAATTAACGTTTAAAACTATATCGAAGAATATTAAGTCTTTTTCTCATAATTATATGAGATATAGAAAAATTTTATATATTTCTCGTTAATTTTTATTATCGATAAAAATTTTAATGTTTTGTTTGTTATTTATTAACAAAAAAATCAAAGTTTGTTAACTGAAATTGAATTTATGTGTTAAAAATTCATCTAAAGCAAAAATTCTAAAAATATATTTAGAATTTGATTATTTTTTTACTATATTCAGAAACTATTTGCAACTCATGAAATTTCTGGAGAAAACATACAAAGACAAGAAATATTAGGTATTTCCTTGACCACTTCCTCCTTTTCAAAATTTTAAATAATTTAAATATACAGTTAGTCCAGTTACTGAGGGTTTTTACCTCCGAATTCTTTATAACTGAATCGATTCATTTGAAATAATTATTCAAGGAACAAAAGTTATATAGTGCCGATGTGCGCTTCCACCCTGGGGGTGTTTGCCACCCCTTTTCGAGGGTGGAATTTTTTTCACTCAAAATAACCACGCTATTCGATAGAAGGACAACTTTCAAACAAAAAATGTAGTAAACATTTTTATCGCTAGATCAAAACTTTTTGAGTTATTCGCTGTTGAAAAGTGTCATTTTTCGTTAAAAAAAAAGAATTTCAAAGGTTTAAAGCATAGCTCTGAAACTAAGAGTTTTATCAAAAAAGTGTAAAGACTAAAATTAAAGCTCATAAAAAAATAAAAAGATTGGCTTTTTAATGAATATTTTCAGTTCAATATTAACTGAGTTATGGCTCTTCAAAGAAGGTTTGTTTTTGTCTTTCAATATATATATAACGTTTAATAACGGAAAACGGGTACATTTTTCGACAAAAACTCATATAATATTTTTAAAAGAGCTTGAAAAGACCTTTAAAATGAGTGGTGGTAAAAGTCCTTTGCACCAACTGTACGTGAGATACGATCAAAAAAACAATGGGGTTCTCAAATTTTTGTAAAAAAAAACGCAATAAAACTAACGTCATGTTCACTAGGATTGAAATAGATTGTTTTCCTCATAGAATTCACTTTATTTTAGTGTTTTTTGTATGATCCAAAAGTTTAGCCACTTAAGAATACCCAGTTTTTGAAAAAAGTATGATTACATTTTTTTGTAAATATTAAAAAAAATCTTTTTTATATAACTTCAAAACTATCAAAGATACGTAAAAGATGACACAATACAAAAAAATAGGTTTTTTTTCAACAAAAATTTTCATTTTTTAATTTTTTTGTAGCTTAAAAAATAACGGAGATAGTTGGTTGAAGTTTACTAGCGCATGAACCACTGGTCCCCGACACTTTGACCCTTCACCCTTTAAAAATGAAGGACTTAAGAATGTTTTAACATTCCTATACTTATAGCCCGTTAAATTACCTGTAAAATCGTTTTTTTATGCATGTTGTAGCATAAAAATTAACCGAGCTATTGTAAAAAAAAACCAATAGTACTTTTTAGAATAAATTTTGGAGCATGGAAAAATTTTATAATTTGGAGCATTGAGCATTTCGATGGAACTAATAGACATTTAATATATACATATGCATCTATGTATCTGATGAATAGATAGTCATTTATTTTATACTTCGTTTTATATAAATATTATTTATTTTTAGTTTTTTGGAAAATAAAAAAAATGTAATATAAACTAAATTTTTTCTATTTATGTCCATGTCTAAGTTAAGGATTTTATTTTCATCAAAAGGGGTGCTTGTAAGGGTTGAAAAAAGTAGGCTCATTTTATAAGTAAAAAATTAATTTTTGTCTACAAACAATGCACTCTAAAAATGTTTCAAATCGTTAAAAATATTTTTTAATTCATTTTTGACAAAGGGGTGATTGTGAGAGTTGAAATGTTGAAATTATAATAAAATGTTATTTTATAAGCAAGAAATTAATTTTTGTTTAATAAAATGCACTCAAGAAATGTTTCAGATCAATAAAAATATATTAAATTAATTAAAAAAAAAGGGGTTGGTTGTGAGGGTTGAAATGTTGAAATTATAATAAAAATTTATTTTATATGCAAAAAATTAATTTTCGTTAATAAAATGCACTCAAGAAATGTTTCAAACCGATAAAAATATTTTTTAATTCATTTTAATTCATTTTGTTATAAGGCGGTTGTAGGTTGAAATTTCATTGACTGCTGTAAACCTGTTGTAATTACAGTCAAATAAACATCTATCTATCATCTAAAATAAAATATTATTGTACAGCTAGGGTATTAATTATTATTTGTATTTAAATACATAATTGAAATGCCTCAAGCTGCTACGACTTTTTTTTCATATTATTCTTATAAAAAGTATTAGCTTTTAAGGGTTTTTAAAGGGTTTTGAGGGTTGAAAATGGTGAATAATTAATTTTCATATTAGAGAACACATTACAATATTTACCTTATGCGAATAAACAAGATTTAAGTACATAAAATAATTAAATGCAGTGTTTTTCCCAGTTTCTTCAATAAGGGGTAGTTTTAACCCCTTAAAAACAAAAAGCGCACCTAGAGCATATATAACTTTTGAAGTGGAGGGTAAGATAAGCTTAATTTGAAATTTTCAAAGAAATCGATGCAGTTATAAAAAATTCGGGGGTATTACCATATTTTAAGCCTCAGTAACTGGAGTAATATATTTACATGAACGTAATTTAGCATACAACTGAATACTCACGAGAAATATATAAAAAAGTTTTTCTATATTCAGATAATAAAAATTTCATTTACGAACATTTTTTATACCGAACACGAATCTTTTATAAAATTTTTTGAATAATACTAATATACAGGAAGTTTTTTGTTAATAGTTCTCTTCTTATGTGTTTCCTTATATTAGGTACTGTTTTCTTGTTGGGAAGGTGTTGAATTTCTGAAATTAAGAAGCAGAAATAATAGTAAATAGGGATAGCGGTATAAAAAATTTGTTCGGGATATGTTTATATTAGGGATAATTGTACAAAATAAGTTAATTTTATTAAAAACTATTATTTTTATGTGATAAATTCTACAGTCATCCGACGGTTTTATAGAGCATAAGGAATGGGAGAAAAAGAACAAAAATTTCTATAGACAGGCTTGAAAAAAATACAGAAAATGTATCAATTTGTCATCAGTATAAAATTGATTAGTAAGTATATTGTACGTTATATTATATTTGGTACAACTCCTTTAATTGTAATGATTTGGTTACAAAAAAGGAAATATTTATTTATTGACATATTTATTCGAATTATTATTAAGCACTTGAGCAAGAGGCCTGGTCAAACTGTGACATATATGTTTGTCCATCTATAAGATAACTCTTAAAAGTCTTCTGGTTGTGGAATTTGGAATATAGATTCATCTTAGTCTAAGGAGGAACTCATATTTGGGGTCAATATGTATTCTCCTCTTGGTCCAAAAAAGAACCGTCAGAGTCTTGAAACAGAGTACAGAGGTTTTTCTTTATCTCAACTTTCTATACCATTTCCCTTTTTTCAAAGGAAAAGTTTACCAGCGTTAAAATTGGGTACATTGTTTACTCTTAATGTGAAGAATAACTCAACTTAAGACTGAACAATAACTTAATCTGAAGATAACCAAAGAACTCATTGAATTTAAGATCAATAGGTTTTTACTTGCCTTATTCCTACGCCTTTTATTTTATTTCAAAGAGTTCTAGAATCTTGAAACTCTATACATAGGTTCTTCTGCTGCTCATTATTTTCCATTGTTTTCAACTTGGTACACAGGTTCCTCTTGGTATCAGGAAGATACCTAATGAATTTGGGATACTAGTTCTAGTATTCTAGATACTAGTATTCTTCTCATATTCTTGTACCTTTTCATTTCCTTAAAAAAACAGCCCCGAAAACTGAAACTTGTTACATAATTTCCTGTTGGTGTAATAGACTGTCGAATGTTGAATTTAGGATTAATCAATCTTCCTCTTCTTATTCCTACACATAACCAAATGGAATTTGGAGTCAACAGATTTTCCTGTTCTTTTTACATCCTTATGCATTTTCAGACATCTAAGTAACTGGATTGGAAGCTGGCCCATCAGGACTCTCCTTGATCCACTTTTAATACTCTTCGCTAATAATAGGTGATATTTCACCAAGTTAATTAGTAAAATGAAATATTTTGTTCAATATAATAACGTTTTTCAGGCCTGTTTATAAAAATTTTCACTTCATTCAATTTTTTTTTTCTTATGGAAACCAAAATTAAAAATTATTGTCAATTTTTTTACAGTAACTCATTAAATAACCTCTCCAAAATCAAATGACTAAATAATTTACAATCACTAATTTACTACTTACCTCTCTCTTAAGAAACAGAACTTATGGCATTATGTGGAGCACCCATTTGTGTGAGAACTTTATCCAGCCACTGCAATGGTCCACTAAGGTGTACTTCTATCCAACAAGGGGTACTAGTGACATCCTGCCTGTGGTACTCTGCTCCCCATCCTTTGACAAAACTCATCCTAATTGTACACATTTTTGTAAGTTCATAAACTGCTTCGAAACCATGATTGACACACTGGGAGAGCAATTGGGCAAACTCAGCATTGTTGAATATTCTCAGCGAACATCCGGCTGGTATTTTGCAGACTGTAGAAGGATGGAAACCATGGTGGTGGTTACAATTGCGGGATTGAACAAAGATAGCAGAATCAGAGAGACATTCGGCATATACTTCACCATTTACATAATAAAGATGCACACCTCTACCTATGTGTCTTCTGGTGTTTTCTATGGTTGAGTTTCTGTTTACATTGCTAAGTTGACCTAAACAAAATCGGTCACTATTGTTGCTAGGGTTAGTAAAACCATCTACAATCACTGATGTTGAATGGCATCTAAATACTTCTCCAACTCTACAGTTGAGTTCATAGTATGCTATTGAAGCCCAATAGGGTTGTTCTTGGTATGCTACAGACTGAACATCTGCTGTCAAGGGAGGTTCGGGACTTACATTATTGTTAGTATTTGTGTTATTTTCGTCAGTTGGACTGTAAGCTGGTGGAGGAGTTTCAGCCAGGCTTGCATATGGAGACTGAGGGTTATTTGAAGCTACACTTCCTGGGCTAGATACACTTGACAATGGTGAGCCTGGATTTAAATGATTAGAATTAAATCCATTTGATGAATATCTCACATTGTGGGGCATATTGGGCTCTACCAACTGCTGAAATGGAAGTAAAGAATGTCCTGGCACAAAATCATTGTGTCTTGGCACAAGAACTGGAGGTAATACTGGACTCTCTACTCTCTTGTAATGGTAAGGATTAATGCAAACCTCCTTGTGTTTAGCTGAAAAAGGATACTGGCAATGTTCCAAAGGTTTTAATTCATGATGACTTTGTAAATCAGGCCACCTCCATACTCTACAATAGATGACATGTGGTAAACCCTTCCTGTGAGATACTTGTAATCTACCATCTAAACTTCTAGGAATAGTCACACATTTGCTGGGTGTACCTGGACAAGACAGAGCTCGTTCAAGTTCTTCAATAGCCCCCTTGCTCTTTTTTAGCTTTTTAACAAGAGTATCTACTGCTTTTTCTGCCCATTTTTCCTCTTCATCACCTTGTTTCCAACCAAGAAGTTTCTTAACTGCTGGACTTGTGAACGAAAATAAACTATTTAAGGTGGAGATGGGACCACTGCTCGATGATTCCCCCTCATCAGCCTCCATATTGAAACTAAAACAAAATTAAATTATGTATTGACCGTTATGAATAAATTTAACTTAAATATGGACTAAGAAATAAACCTAAGACTAAGAAAGATAAATAAATAAATAAATAATAATTTTTATGGCAATGAGGTGTACACAAAATTGCAAACAGATTGTTTTATTTAAATGGAGTAATACTCCGAATTTACGTGATAGGTGGGACCAAGAGATAACTGAGATAACTGAGATGACCGTAAGTTGAATTCGCGTCAATTGGGATATAATTTCGTATATGTATGTATATAAAAAATACCAACTTATACAAAAAATGTTTATTAAAAACTTAGGATACACAAATATAAAATTGCCCATCGAAGTTACTTTGTTCTGGACAGCTTCATAAAATCCAACAAAGTAGTTTAACGACTCAATTTTTTTTCTCCCACAAAATTTCCTCATAACAGGCTAATAGATTTTTATTCTTTGTTTTGTAGAAGAAATGCGCTCTTCGTTGTAGTCTATATTTTTAAAAATTTGTAATCCCTTTTCAATTAAACTGAGGCCTTCAGTCAAGTTTCCAATCGTCATTTGTCCTCAGTTTGAACAGTATCCAAAAAACCAAGCTCTGAATTTTTCCGAGTCCTTGTTTTAGGATGAAACATGGGTTTATTCAAAGGGAAATAAAACAATTTCCTCGCAAGACAAGAATGTTAAAAAAGCACATAAACCAGAAGGGTATGATGGTAAATGTTTTATAATTGTTCACACTGGTTCTTGAAAAGGATTTTTACTGAAGCAAGTTTATTATTTGCTCAAAATCTAAAGTAGCTGATTATCATGGAGAAACGAACAATGAAATTTTCACTAAATAGATAAGTTAACAATCAATTCCAATTTAGAAGAGCCATCATTAATGGTGATAGATAATGCTCCATACCACAGTGTTCTTTTAGAAAAGCAAACTTCCACTATTTCAACTAGAATGCCAATTATTATATGGTTGACAACAAACATGATCAAGAGTGTGACACACAAAACTCACAAAATCTGAATTATTACAAATTACATAAATAAAGAGAAAAGAGAATGTGTATATAACTGACGAGCTACTAAAAGAAAACACCCATGAATTGTTAAGACTGCCTCCTTATCACTGTAAATCCAATGTTATTCAATTAATTTGGGCAAACTGAGAGTCATATTACAATAAGTATATTGGTAGAGATGGACATTGTGATAGCACTGTTATAACTATATGGAAAGAGGCTCTAAACGAATGTAACATAGAAATTTGGGAAAAATGTGTGACATACTAATGAAAATATTAAAATGTGGTATATCCGAGATAAAAATATGGTTGACATTAACATTCAACGAATCATAATAGACACTGGTAATATGAGATTGTACACAGTGCTTAAATACCCAGCTAAAAAGTATTCTATTTTTCAATTTATTATACATAGATTCTTTGATTTGAATTTTTTATGTTAATTGTTGTATGTAAATTTGTTTTTCAATTTAGTTTGACAACATGTGTAAACTTCAATTTATTACAGTTTTAGTCATTTTGTGTGAATAATACATGTTAAGAGGCTCAAAGCTCTTTGATCTTGAATCCATCAATCTCCTCAACAATATGTCATTTATTTATTTATTTCAATTGTAGAACCATTTACAATAAAATACAAAAAATAGTAAAAAGTAGGATCATGTAGAATAAACATCAAAACAACAACAAAGAAACAACAGTAAAAATTTGTATATTAAAACAGTATATCAAATCAGTAAAAAAATATGACATATTTAGATTACTCAGACTCTTAAGTTGCTTTTGAAAACATTAATGTTTGGACAGAATGGATCCAATAGGAGGTCATTGCAAGACCTGTGCATTCTTGACAAGGGAAAATGACGAGCATAATCAGTCCTCTGAAAACGAATATTAAAGAGTGCAGTGTATTGAGTTCTATGTATTGTGTTTAAGAACACATTGGCTAATAACAGGACAACTTGTATTTCAAAAAATTCATAAATGTATACTTACCAGTTTTCAAAATGAAATAAATGAAATAAAAGAAGTATAAAAATGTCCATTATAATATTAGCCAATTCTCATAACCAACATAAGTTTGGCTCACATATTTTTTTTATTTCCTATGATAGAATGATGACAATGTGCAAAGATCCCAACAATCTTCTATCTAACCTGATAGACAAAAGTAATATGACTCAATGTATTTGGGAAGCATACTGCAAATTATTGTGTTGATTATAAGTCTTCTTTAAATGATGAGGTAGTCATAACTATAAATATTTAAAAGAACTACTTGCAGTTCTGTTGATGTATATGAATATGCATAGATAGGTATTCATTTGTGATCAACTACATTTTACAACAGGTGATTTTTGGATTATAACAAATTTGAATTAACAACAGGAAACAAAGGAAAATGGTGAATATGATTAATAAAAATACTACAATTTGTAGCTAAATTAATATAAAATATAATTTAATACATCTTGTGATATATAAATTGAAATGATGTTAATTTTCAAGCAATTTTCAACCACAAGCTTTAATGGGGTCAACATATTGATTATCTGAGCAAAAATCTATCAAAGAACTTCTATGTGCTCAGAAATCTAGCATCAGGTGTTTCACATAAGGTCTTATGAACAGCTTGTTATGCCATGTTTCACTCTCATCTGACATACAATCTTGGTCTCGGGCATTCGGCAGGAATACCAAGAGTCTTTGGATTGTAACGTAAGGCTATAAGAGTTCTTGTAGACATTCGGTTTAGGGACAATTGCAGATTGGCCATGAGACTCAGGGAATTCTTACTGTGCTCTCCTTGTACATATATGAGAACCTTATGTTTGTTAAGAGAAGCAACTGTATTAAGAGAAGAACTTTGGGACAGATGAAGAGATGCACAATCATAACACTAGACACATATGTGATCTTGTTCCAGCCTACTGGAGGCTAAAGAGGTGTCTCTTTAGATGTAAAACTGAATTAGGTTATTGGGCAATTACATTTTATACCAAATTACCTGATAACGTAAAGGATCTTCCCAAAACTCAGTTTAAAAATAAAATTAAGGAAATTTTAATATGAAAATGTATTTTATAGTAGCGAGGAATATCTTAAATTTCAATTTTAAACTATTTTAACTCAGTCTGATATGTGTTTTTATGTCCATAGAAGATTGTTTAATAGAACTATTGTTCTGCTTTTATTTTGACTTGTGTTAGGCTACTGGCAAAATTACATCAAAAAATGAATTTGAATTTGGTCAAATAGATAATTACTGAAAAAGTATAGTAAGGGAATTGATATAGTCTATGTTAAGTAAACAAACAGAAAATGCATAATTATATACACAAAACAAGAGTAGGATAATCCAAAAGTAGTAAAATCAAAACAAACAACAGGTTCCAGCAAATGGTTTCAAAATAATTCTGAAAATTATTTGAAATCAGAAAATTTTAAATGTCATTAATAAAGGGAAAGAATATGTCCAGCAATAAAGAAAAATAACTGCTAAAACACAAAATTAATGGTAAATGGAAATGAAAACAATTAGAAAAATAACAAGCAAAATATTAGTAAACAACAAAAGTAAGTACTGGGTTCATAAAGTGGAATATCATTCACAAAATAAAATAAGGTTTTGTGCAAATTATTGGAAAAAAATATTGTATTATAATTGATTGCCATTTTAAGCAAATACTGTGTCAAAACTTAAGCATGATGATATTGTTCTGAAGCAATTTTTTTGTGGCATTTTAACAAAATTACTATGTAAATGGGAATAAGCCACAATTAAAGGTTAAAGTATGTTTATTAACGTTTCTATTTCCACTTCTGAAATCGTTCTCAAAATACAAACATTAGCAAATTAAATAAATTTTGTTTTTTTTTGTACTTATATTCAATACATGGTCAATACATTTATATTGACAATTCTGACATACATTATACATTTTAAAGTAGACAACTTTAAAATGATATTGCCCATATTATTGAGTTGTGCTCCTGGGACGACTTTACTTATAAGATAGTTCATTCCATTATATGAAGTCAACTTTAACTTGAGAATATCCGTCAAAAAAAATCATAGCATGTAATTCTTCTTTAAAAAGACAAACACATGCCATGATGACAGTAAAACTCTCCTGTTAGTGATTCCATAGTAAATTATGAGGAAATTATTAGAATTTTTCACTAAGTAACAAAAAAACACAATTTATTTAATTTACTAATGTTTGTATTTTGAGAACAATTTTCGAAGTGGAAATTGAAACGTCAATAAACATACTTTAACCTTTAATTGTAGCTTATTCCCATTTAAATAGTAATTACTTTACTCATGATGAGTCATAATGGGTAATAAGATTGTACACTTGTTGTATATGCAAACAAGATCTATATTTTTTTTCTATAAAGTTGAAATCTAAACAAAATGTATCTGAATTTGAGCCACTGTTATATGTATTTATTATACAGGATTGGCATATGGTAATAATCAACTGAAAACTTAAAACTATTTAGAATTGGCCTCAAAGATCCAAAACTAAACTGAACAAAAGTAAACTATAATAATATTAAAAAAAATTTTAATTCACATTTTTATGCTATATATCTATAAATAATATTAAACAATAATAACATGAGTTTAAAATAAAATTAACTATTTTTAATTCAACTTTAGTCAAACATAAAGCCAAAACAATCAATGAATTTTTTCGTTTGTTGATCTATGTTATAAAAAGGAATCAAAAACAAAAATATATGAAAAGAAAATACAAAAAGTTATCTTCTAAATAAAATACAATATAATTATATTTTTGAAAACAAAATTGTAGAATGTTGGTTTAGAAAAAAAAAAGGTAGAAAATTTTGTATTTTTACTTTAGATACAAAGTATCTTACAGAGAACCTTAAAATGATTTTGTTCTAAAAATGGGTTATATGGTACTCTGTTCAATTTTCTTTATTAAATTAACATTTGAGTGAATTTTCTATTCTTAAAAGATCAATAAAGCATCATGTAGATACATATATGAAAATATTTCAAAATAAGCTTAAATCCACTTATCAATTCACTATTAATTGATGAACTAACGTTATAATAGTAGATTTATCTGTTAGATTAATTTTTATATGAATGGTTTTGGTTGAGTTTATTTATTATTAATGAGACTGCAGTATGATCTATGTTCACACTGGTTATTGAATATGAATATCATTCAACACAATTTTATAATAATAACAAAAATATTTACTTATATAGTCAATGCTGCCTGTTTGAAAATATAAACACAAAAACAATAAAAACGCCGCTTTTCAGGAATAACTAATATCCAAAAAAACTGAGATGTTTTCACCACAAAACTTTTGTTTAAGGGTATGATTGGGTGGGTATAGGTAATATGTATTTATCACAGGGATGTATAATGTGTACACTATATTAAATCACTCAACAAATAAAAGAACAACACTTCTGTTTAAATTTATAAAAAAATTCAAAAAGAAATGACTCACTAGTTATTAAAATGAGTCACATAATATTGATAATCTGTAGCCATAGTTAAATATGAAATTGCAGACCACTTTACTCCTATCACTTATTCATTACACATCTGTTATGAGAATGAGACTAGCTGCACATTTCCTAGTACTGGGTATTTATCAAGAGCAACAATTTTTTTTATCAACAAAAATAAAGCAGACATGAACACCAGCACTTGATACGGAATTTAAGAGTTTGGAGCTTATTTTTGAGGTTATCAAACAGTTATTTGATTACTTACACTCTATATCACTGAAATATTAATGGTGTGGTTCACTAATTATCAATTTTATCACAATATTTAATAAAAATAAGTAAAATTGCAGTGCAAACTGCCTACTCTCTCGACGCCTAGATCTTTCACTTGTCGCTTGACGACATTTTATGGTGGCGCTGTACACAGAGCGGCAAATTCAATTTTGTCAATCATCCTTTGATAAGTTATATTTTTGTTATAATAATATATTTATTTTATATATTGTGTAAAGGCCTTTAAAAAAATAACTAGAGTAGGCAACAAGTATTTTCTATTTTGATCAATCATCAACACCGATATTTAAGATTCTTCTAATAAATAACAATTACACAAAATTATTTAAAAATTGTAAAATAGTGCTTCATAGATTTTATAGCTACTAGTCCGTGATTTAAAGTATTAGTATTTTTTCCATAATTGTACATTTTTATTTTTGGATATACCTAGGAAAGCATTTAAAATGTGTTTGAAAATCGTAATTATATATTGTTGGACTACTAGTTATGCAACCAGTAGTTGCAAAAACAGTGTGATATAATTCTTGGATAATTTTTGATTTATTTAATATTCACAAAATAATTAAAGATATCAGAAGAAAATATTGAACATATATTAAAATAATAAACCATAAACATAATTCTTACACAAATTAAAATAGGTATAAGAAATATTGAAAAACTCTACCTGTATGTAACTCATCAACTTCAAACCTCTTTACCTAGGTCACAGAATAATTATTGTTTATTATTCTGTGCCTAAGTCTAAGTTGGATATGGAAATTTTTGGAGAAATTTGGTGTAATAAGTCTAAATTGGGTTTCTGAAATTGTAACATATGTTATTCAGTAAAGATCGGTCTCCCGAAACTAGTATCTATTAACGAGGTGGTAGAGTTCTTATTGCTGTTTTCTATTCTCACTAGTGAACGTATTCAATATGTACAGGATATCAAACAATTATGTGATTGGTACACTCTGATGATAAAAAATTGATAATTGGGAGGATCTGTCTAGATCCTTCCGATATCCCTCTTTTGAAGTCTACACACTATTGAGCAATATCAGTGATATTTTATTCGACAAATATCCTAGAGCAGTGTTTCGCTTGTATGGTGGATTTACGTTGGATACATGACAAATGAGGATCAACAGCTTTAACACAACAAAACATCTCTCCAGCTAAGATAGAAGCCATTTAAGTCGTATCCCAAATGTATTCGTTGCAAAACGTTTTTTTAGATAAACAATGTAAATGTAATGCATTCTAGAGATGCTATTCTCGATGTGTTATTGTCACATAAGTCCAATATCTCGGTTAAATTAGCTGATGATGTTCTGTCACCTCTAGATGTACATCATCCTGCTTTAGAAGTTACCATACCTACTAGCGACATTTTATTTAAGATCAAAGTTGTTTATATGAACTGGTAAATGCGTTTTATAATTTAATATACACAGTAATCGAATTGTTTCTTCCTGTGAAAAGGTTGACTTCCACTAAGTTCCTTCTTTCACTACACAGTTCCAATTATTTTAAGAATTCTTATAAAGAATAAAGTTTTCACATGTTGAATTTTTGAAATATTATATGTATTTTTATTGCCTAATGTTACCTATACAGTACACATTCCATATTTTCCAAAAAAGGGGGCAACTCAAAAATGGGTCTAGAGGAATTTTTAAATTTATCGCTAAAGCTATGTCAAAACAAGAAATTATGTTTAGTTTCCATATTCAAGATTCATACAATACAGGGTTAAAGTCTATCTTTGGATTTTGTCTATTTCCTTAGCCTCTTTCATTACCATATTATCTATATAAACTGATAAATGTCATGTTATAAAAATGTGTGTACAAATATGACATTTTACATTCATACACACCTCTTTTTATTTATTGCATATAAGAAATAACATTTAAATATAACCGTTTCTAAATGACTATTAATGGTCTGTGGGGGGC